GTAACATTCCCAAAAAGTTAATCAAGGAGATAAGTAAACCATTCAGCACATGTCACAAGCCAAAAAGCTGACTTTTGAGGTCAATATGGAAGTAAGAACTGTCTTTTTGACTAAAAGTCTTCTAAAGAAAAAAACATCCAGGTGGAGAGTCTGTTTTAGTCTGACAAAATTAAGACTGGTATTTGAAACATACTGTTAAGAATCCTTTGAAACTTCATTCCTGTTACTGTGTTCAAACATTTTTGTTATGATGGACAAGTGAAATATGCTTATGCCCTAATAACTGTACTTTGAACACACAGCAGAAGGCAGACAGCTCTTCTGTCTGGGCAACTACGCTTTACCGCAATTTTGCAAATCTACTTTAAGAACTACCCAGCTCTCAGACATTAGTTCATTTGAGACATTGCTTTCTATATCCCCTCGTGCCAATTAAATAATGAATCCTTTCAATAGCAATTTATAAAATATTAAAAACTTAAGTTTCACTTTTACCTTAAAGTTATCATAAAAACAAACTAATTTGCAAAAGAAGAAGGTCATAACCGCCTGAAAAGGAAACACAGCTTTGCTAAGACTTAAGAATTGGAGGAAAGAGGGCACAATTAAAGCCTTATACTAATAATATTAATAGACTTGCACTCTTTGTTCAACTCAAAACTAATACAAATGCAAATTTTCAAGAGGGAAGACTTACTACATAAATTAGTTTCGACAGAGGATCTCTAAGACCTTGCACCTACTGGTCCTACATACCCTTAAGGAGCTAAAAGCCTTTGTGAAGAAGTAAGCTGGTTTTGTATTTTAAAATTCTTTTTTGGAATCATTAAAGCAATACAACATGAAGATGTCTCATACAATACTATGAAGGAGGCAAAGAGATCCTTTCTACCATGGGATCAGTGAAGTCACACTCTAAAAAACTTTTTTAAGCAGTAACTCACTTCATGAATCTAGCTAGCTCCTTCCTTGGCATTGCTTCTATTTATGATACTTACATGATCACCAGTAGCATGTAAAAAACCTCATACACCTTTAATTATTTATTTTCGCAACATACAAGTATGGCAGAGCACCCTGCTATTCCCATTTTACAGACAGAAACGTGTAATGAGGGAAAACTTAACCACAAAATATTCTAGTAGAAAAACTATTTTCAAAGTATTTTCTCAGTATTCTTACTCTTTTCTTTAACTCTCCTTTTGCCTGTTAACTTTAATATTTGATTAAGTATCTCTCAGGTCTAGAGGCTAATCCTAAAAAGTTATAGTACATACATAGCTACTCCCCACAGAATTTTCGGGCTAGGGTATGCAGTTGTAAATGTTGCAGAGATTTCACTTACAACGATAGGCCTTTCAGATAAGGATGTGTAAAAATATATTAATAATCACAAAATGATTACAAAATGCACTTAAGTAGACAAAACGAGTTTGTAGTTGTACTTGCAAAATAAAATCTACTTAGTGACTCAGACTTCTACAAACAGGTTCAGATCCCCCGCTGCACACACAGAAGACTTTTTATGCATGAAACAGTCAAGGCAAAGCACAACTACCACCAAGCATGTGAGATTACTCTCATCCTAATTTTAACAGATTCAGTATTGTATGCTGTTTTCC